ACAGGGATGTATCTATCAGCCTAGCCCCGAGCATCATTCAGGGCCTGATGAAGACGCTTGAACTGCTGCACAGTGTCTGGAGGAGAAGCTGGGAGTGCATGGGGTCACACACGCATACTCAGAGCTCAACGAGAGAAAAGGGAGGTATTGAGCTCCACTGGCATTAAGTAGATTGTGTATCGACTGGTTTTGGGACCAGCATGAACGAGGCTGCCTGCTCAGCATTTTGTTTGGGGGGGTCATGTGGAGGTCACTGACGCCGGAGTGCCCAGGGAAATCCCAAAAGATCTCCCCCCCAGCCAGAGCCGATCAAGCGGGACGGCATAACCTTCCCTTCCACACGGGCTCGTGTGCACACACTCTCGCGCTGTCAGTGCTGACTGGCTATCCTTAGGGAGCTCTCTTTGTCTACCCCAGCTAACGTCCCCCTAGGGGGCTGTCCTGTGACACCTCTCTTAATTATCTGTGCAACAACTGCTTAACCAGGGCAATCAATCACCATCGGCCTTCCCAATACTGCAGGTTACTCCCCGTCACAATCGTTCACGTTCGTATCGTTCACAATACAAAAAAGGTCCATTTTCTCAGGTCTGGACACAAGATGCGTCTTGGCACTACTATCGTTGTGTGCACAATCGCTCTTTATTTTAATTTCATCTTCTAAATTGTGGTGCGCGTATTTAAATCGGCATATGGTGGGGTTCAATTCCAGACCTGGGGTGCTGTCTGCGTGGAGTTCGCATGTTCTCCTCAGGGATTTCCTCCGGTTGCTCCGGTTTCATCCCGTAGTCCTGAGACATACTGGTAGGTTAACTGGCACTTGGGAAGTCTCTCTGTCCTGCGATGGACAGTGTCCCGGGCAGGGTGTCCCCTGTCCTGTGCCTCCTGTACTGTACTTTCTTTGCATTGACCCGAATTCATAACAAAGGTAACAAACACGAGGAAGCCAGTGGTTAATTGATCTTAGAATCTCCTCCAGGCATTTTTTTTGGAAAGAAGCAAGTGGACCGGTTTCGACAGTGTGTCTGGGTAGCTTGCTCCACTCTCCCACAACCCTCTGTGTAAAGAAAAGGCTCCTGTTCTCAGTTTTAAATGCTCTTCCACACAGTTTCCACTTGTGTTCTCTGACCACTTGATCTAGAAGCTGATCTGGTTGACAACGGCATTGCCCTTGAGGAGTTTGTAATGCATAAATCGGGTCACCGGTAAAGGCTAAAAAATAAATCCCCTCCGATTCAGATGACCTCGGTTTGCAGGCTCAGTCACAGTGCTGGAAGCTCACAGTCTGTCACTGCGGCTCCTGGCAGGACAAAGACACGGCCCCAAACACCAGCACACTGCGTGACTGATGAAACACGGCCTCAACAGGGAACTAGACGCCAGGACACAGCAATTTTTTTTTCTTATGCGGCTTGTTTTAAGACCATTCCATTTCCTGCTTTTTCCAAAGAATGATCAAATAAAGAAAAAGCTCAAGAGAGAAAACCAGGATCAGTCTGATTACATTTTCATCGCGTTGCACACGTTACACACGAAGTTGACCTCTGACCCTGTCACCTCTCCATTTCCCAGTTTCTAAATCCTGAGGTATCCTACGTCATGACACTCCTCTTTTACCCAAGCGAAGCATACTTGGGATAATCACAATGAACCCCCCTACCCAGTTAGGTAAAGAGGGGGGAATGGGGCTAACCCAGTAGATGCGATGGACAGGAGGAGTCCGATCAGGAAGTGAATTCCTCTGTGGGTGCCGCAGGAGGAGGCGGGCTGGGAGAGAGCGTATCGCCCGCCAGGTGATGAAGCGCTGTCCCTCAGGGGATGAGGGAAGTGTGTCTCTTCAAAAGGGACAGTCCAGCTTGACTGAGGCTACGAGTCTCTCTGGTAAGCAGCTGAGGTCCATGATACTCAAGCCCAGGGGGGGGTCGTATAGCACGCTCCCATCACGCTCCTCTTGGGAAGAGCCGGAGGAAGCCCGTGACAGCGACGGCCACCCCCCACTAGATGGGCTACATCCTGCAGACGAGCGGAGGTGAAACTGCGATCATCCTCTAACCCCCCCCCCGACACAAATCTGCCCCCGGCGCCGCGACACTGTTGCGGGTTTCATCCTCATTTCCTGATTAAAACCTCCTCCTGCCCGGACTAAGGGACGGAGTCTCCCCAAGATGCCAGAGTATTTCACAGCAGTGGAGATCACGCGTTCTTGAACAGCGCAGGAAATAAAACCGCAGCTTCGTCTGGTTGGCGCCGTCGCCCAATTCAAAGGCGAGGTGCAATGCTGGTCTGATAATGAAACGACCTCCCCGCGCGGGCAGCCGGAAGGCTGAATAAGCCCTTCAGGGTCCCCCGGAAAGATGGAGGCATCGTTATCTGCTCTCGCGCACGAATGCCAGATCTCGCGCAGGAACAGCAGGGGGGCTTCGAGTTCCTGGGTTTCACGCTCAACCACCTCTTTACCACGACCGCTTCTGAAGATCAAAGCAAAAAAAAAACGAACAAACAACAAAGCCTTCAATTTGCGATCGGACCGCATTGTGGGTTTCAGCCCTCCGGCATCCCTGAAGATTTCTCATGTAGGAGCTCCGGCTCCCACTGGGAAGCGTTAGCGGAGGAATAATGCAGGCCCACGGGGAAGGACACGGAGCTAATCCAATTTATTCATGTTTTCATGGAGTCCACTCGTCCACGCGGCACGGTCTCCGCCAGCTGTGTCCTCCCTCCTCTTGCTCCCAACAGACACCAAGGCTTCCAAGACAGGCAAGAGGGAGACTCTAGACCCAGACACGGGAGATTTGATCTCATGGGGACCAGGCCATGAGTCCGGCACACCCCCCTCATCCAGCAACAATACCGATGCTGTAGAAAACCCTGACCCCCCCCTCCCAGACACAGCTGGCCGTACTGCGCGCCGGGCTGCTCGTCTCTCCCAGCGCTTCCTTTCCCCCCTATTGGCAACGCTTGTTAAAAGGAGAGCAATAACTTCCACAGCCATAAAAAGTCCAAAACCATCCTGCGGCGTAGCAGAGTTTAATTAATGTCGGCGCCTGTCGGTGCACGCAAGACAAACAGCGCAGCCGGGCCCCTAAATCAAGCGCGCCACACACAGAGGCTTCTCCGAGCGGCGTTCCCTAAGCCTTTCCCAGCTCCTTCCTTCCCCTGTCTTTTCCACATCTCCCCCCCCATCGCCATCACAGCCTCTGTTCACAGTTAAAAATAAAACGGTAGGGTGAACATATTTACAACCCCCCCGTCGGGGTTCTGCGCGGGGCCGAATCAGGATGCAACCTGTATTTTCCACTAGCACATTCGGC